GAGTAATAAAAAGCATGACTTTTGGAATCATACAGTTGTGAGTTCAAATCATCACTCTACCCACTGTGTAGTTTTAGGCAAAATTCAGAGTAAATTCTCCATGTAAAATAGAAGCAGTAATACTTCCTTCAACACATCCATTGTGTGATACCCTGAATTTGACAGCTGTGATTATGGCAGCTCTAATCGTGTGTATGATTACCAAAGTAGGTTTTCACCCAAAGTAGGTTTAAAGCATTCATCCCATCTCAACACCTATTTTCTCAGACTTTTCAAGAGAAACCGTATCTCCATCTGTCTAATGTTCCTCCTTCCCAGGAATATCACTGGATGTGGAATCTGAGCATAGAATAGAAATGTGGTCACTAGGGAGGTATCTCTAGAGATGATTTCCCAGACTGATAACAAGCCTTGGCATCTAGTATTCTCAGAATAATTTAGGAATGATGTAACTTCCATCCAAGTTCTCTTGACATTAACCACACACTTAAATAATCAAAGTGGAGAACTTCTAGTTCTATCCAAGTCACAATTTTTCAAAAATACGTATGATGAAAACTCTGAGAGCTGCGAGTCTCATGGCAATGAGACTCTACCTGCAGTCATATTGGAAAGATGCAATGGTGGCATGATCCCAAGAAGTGAGGCCATTTCAGAGCTTTCCGGGGCAACATAACATATTTGAGAGAATTCACTTGAATTGGATGTGCTACGTTTTCTGAGGCATGCCTCAACTCTCACTGAAGAATTTCTTGCTTGACTGACGAATTTCTTGCCTGGGACTCAGATTTTAGAAGAAAGCGTATTGTTTCTTCCCCCTCTCAGAATGGAAGTTATTTTCTAATGTCTGCTCCTCCATAGCCAACATACGGAAGACTTGGCTGTGACCAATCCAAAAAAAAAGGATAAGCATATCAGACTAAGTGGTTTTTAAACTTCTTTTAGGATTTGAATACATTTTATCAAAGTAAATCTTTGTTTTTGTTTTGAGTTGAGGTCTCACTCTGTTGCCCAGGCTGGAGTGCAGTGGCATGCTCACGGCCACCGCAGCCTCAACTTGCTGGACTCAGGTGATCCTTCCAAGTAGCTGAAACCAAAGAAACATGCCATCACACCTGGCTAATTTTTTTTTATTGTCGTGATAAAGTAAATCTTGACAGATTTTTTTAAAAAGTCAATCAGTTTCTGACTATCTGCTCTACTTCCACCGTCTCTGAGGTAACTACACAATTCTGGACATGAATTTGAGTAAATTCTCCATGTAAAATGAAGCACTAACACCTCCTTCAAAACCTCCATTGCCTGAGGCCCTGAAAGTGACAACTGTGACTATACCAACTCTAACTGTGTCTATGATTACCAAAGTAGGTTTTCACCCACAAGAAAGCCACCATTTCTAGAAGATATACCCAGTGATAACCACTTAAAATATTCATTCCCTCTCAACAACTATTGTCTCAGACTTTTCTAGAAAATGTCTTTTTCAGCATTATGTCACTCGAAAACAATTTCATCTCGGCTGACACATTGAGTTTTCATGTCCTCCATAAGGTCACTCTCACAGTCCCAATGCCTGGGTTTTGCTCTCGTGAGAACAAAGGAGTCTGAGTTCACAGAAGTGTCCCATCCCCCTGCTTTCTTATCCTCTACTTCTAGAGCCAGTATTCCAGCCACTGATCACTGTGGACCAAGGGATACCTGAACACCCAAAAGGCATTTCGGTTATATGTTCAAGTATATTTTCCATTTAACATGAAGTAATTCCAGAGGGAATTACTCAACAATAAGAAGATTTTCAGCCCTCAGATTTTATGTTCTGGCAACCTTTAAAGACAAACAGAGGAATTCATAGAGAAGAGAATGGGCTAAGAAATCAGACACACTTGGATTTTAATTCGGGCTCTGTGAGATATTAATCAAGTCACCTGCCTGTCCAAGTCCCAGTCTCTTCATCTGTAAAATGGGGGCCTTGTGTCTATTTCACCAGTGTTTTAAGATCAAGTGAGATAAAATATATGAAATCTCTTAGTTAATTGTAAAATATACACACACATACATACTCCTTATTTATATATAAATGTTATTTTCAGAAACAAGATCAGAGATGTTTATTGGTTTGCCTTGAGCAATATGCCTGGTATATTACTTAGAGATAATAGAGATATAACAACCATTGTTTACTTACAATCTGAAGCACTAATGACATCCAGAAATTTAATTGACCAAATATTTATCGTTTTACTATATGCTATTTAGAGCAAGAAGAATAAAATTCAAGTCATATTCTCAAAAGAGTCACAGTCTAAATGGGGAGGGATAAACATTGAAATAAAGGTAGTAAAGGCCTCAAAGGATTCCCAATGAGTGCTGTGAGAATTCAAAGGAAAAAGACATATCCAGATAGGATCATCATGGAAACTTCCTAAGGTAAAAGCATTTCAGATGAGCCTTTGAGGATGGGTAGGACATTAACAGAAATAAGTAAGAAAAATATTAGAGGTGAAAGGCACAAGGGGTTGTTCAGAAGACAGTATGCTTTCACCATGTAATTGAAAATAAAAATCCAACATTAAGAGAAGGTCATGACTTGAGAGTATTTCATGTCAATAGGAGTTTATGGTTGATTCAGGAAGCACTGGGGAGTCATAGAAGATTTTTGAGAAGGGGAGTGATGAAATAAGGGAACTGCTAAGAGTGATTAGTCTGGAAGCTTGTGGAAGAAAACTTACCTGCTGACAGTGAGGGACAGGATTAGGGTTAGAGTTTGAGGGTACATTCTTATGGTCTGGTGACTGCTTGAAATAAGACCAAAAAAAGATGGTTAAAATACTGCAGGACAACAGTGAGGGCCCAACAGCAGTTAAACCTATATCATAATGAACAGACAGTATCCAAGTCAAGGATAAAAATAGCAGGGAGTAGTGTACTCATGGATGGAGAGCAATGAGGCATTATGGTAGTATGAGACTAGACATGGTAAATATACACCATGAAATACTGCACAACCATAAAAAAGAACAAAGTCATGTTCTTTGCAGCAACATGGATGGAACTGGTGGTCATTATCCTAAGTGAACTCACTCAGAAACAGAAAACCAACACCACACGTTTTCAATTACATGTGGGAACTAAACAATGGGTACTCATGGGCATAAAGATAGAAAGAATAGACACCGGGGACACTGGGGAGGTAGAGAGGAGGGCAAGAATTCAAAAACTAGCTATCAGGTAGTTCACTACTTGGAGAATGGGGGCACCAGGAACCCAATCTAGGCTAATTTTTTTTTTTTGAGTTGGAGTCTCACTCTGTCGCTCAGACTGGAGTGCAGTGGCCGCTCCCAGCCACTGCAGCTTCGATCTGCTGGGTTCCGGCGATCCTTCGGACTCAGCCTTCCAAGTAGCTGGAACTACAGGCACACGCTACCACGCCCGGCTCATTTTGATTTATTGTAGAGATGAGGTCTTGCCAAGTTGCCCAGGCAGGTCTCGAACCCGCGGGCTCAGGCAATCCACTCACCTCAGCCTCCCAAAGGCGCGGGATTACAGGCTGAGCCACCGAGCCTGGCTATAATTTTTGATTTATTGTAGAGACAAGGTCTTGCCAAGTTGCCTGGGCTGGTCTCCAACCTGCAACCTCATGTAACTGACCTGCACTAGTACCCCCGACTCTAAGTTTTTAAAAACTGTAAAGAGAAAAACTTGTAAAAGAACTGATGTCTGCGTCAGTGATAAAAGACTTTAATGAGGGCTAGAGACGGTGTGGTTTTACTATGAACATTTAGTCCCTGAGATGTCACAAGTGAAGTATGATGCTCTCGGATGTATTTATATCATTATTTCTTAAGCAATATTTGTAGGTAAAAAGATCTAGTTAAAAACAGATTGGATTACCTGGATGCTTTAGTGGAAAGCTTTCAAGCACAATCCAAGAGGCCAGCAGATGGGGAGAAAACAAATGGGTGAAACAACCGGAAGTGGAAGTAGGGAAAACAAGAGGGTAAGGAGCGTGATGACTGTGAACAGAGGGGAATTTCAGAGATCAAAATGTTAATGATATATGAAAAATAAAACGTGTGCCTACATAGTGGATATCATTGTCTAGTGCTTTCAGATCACGTAAAACCTTGTGTTTCCTTTTGATTCTGTAAGAAACTGAGTCTAAGGCTAGCATAAGCACATGTGAATATTTTGACAAGAGTCAACAGACACCCTTTGCTCTAAGAACCAAACTCTTCTAAGTCAACGTGGCCTGCCCAGAACCCTCTCAGCAAATCCTCTCGGCAAATCCTCAGCATGTCAGGTCAAGCACTCTGTCACCCAGGCTGGAGTGCAGTGAAATGCTCATGGCCATCACAGCCTCGACCTGCTGGGCTCTGGTGATCCTTCTGCCTCAGCCTTCCAAGTAGCTAGAACTACAGGTGTATGCTACCATGCCCAGCTAATTTTTTATTTGTTGTAGAGACAAGGGCTTGCCAAGTTGCCTGGACTGGTCCCAAACCTGTGGGTTCAGGCAATCCATACGGCTCAGCCTCCCAAAGTGCTGGGATTACAGGCTGAGTCACCGAGCCCGGGAAAGAGAATTTCTAAACTTGTGAGTGACCACTACTTCCCTCCCTACCCTTTCACCTGCCAAAACCAAAGATGCAGGCTCATCAAACTCAAAGGCCATATGACCTCTGCTCCCTGAGACAGTCTGCTCTTCTCTGTCTTCACCAATCACAGACTGATCTGGTTTTCTGGAAGAGTTCACTTTTTCCAGACCAACCAGTCTGCCTCGGAGCCACTGTCAGATGTGGAACTGCAGCACCAGAAGATTCCTCTTACTCCATTCGGGAGACCCCAACAATCTTATCCAATCCCATAAAGATGAGGAAACTGAAACTTCAAGAAAGAGGGTAAGTGGCTCAAGATCGCTCCATTGGGTAAAGTAGAGGCCGAGTGAGATCTTAGGTGCCCAATTTCTCACCCCTTACCCCACCTATATTCCCTAAATAAATCATCTATTTATCTTCCCAAATTACTTTCCTCCCCATGAGTCTCCTCATGGAGTATTTTACCTCGGCATTTCTGAAGGAGTAAATGACAGGGTTTAAGAGAGGTGTGACCACCATGTAAAATACAGCAACGATATTGTCTGCAGGGAGGGTGGCTCAGGGCCTCATGTAGACAAAGGAGCAGGGTGTGAAGAACAGGCCCACTGTTGGGAGTCAGCCACGGAGGACCACTGAGCATTAGGGAAAAGGGAGGGCCATGGACCCCGAGACCACTAGGATGCATTCAGGAGCTGTTGACCCCATTCCATCCTCCCTTTTTCTGTTTAGCACACTGAGCCAAAAGGAACTCTGCTGACCTAAGCTGAAGGCTCTGTGACTGTGACAGGCATGGTTAACTCTAGAAACTCATTGTTCCTGTTTCCCATGAACTGCAGTTTCGGCTTAGGTATTAGATATAATTCAAACTCAGGTCACATTTGGGAGCCTTCAGTATGGTACAAGCTTCTTTATAAGATTTAAAAGTATATTTGTAGAATTAGTATATACATATGGAGAGCTGTTTTCAGCTTTAGATGGTATAGATGATTATCTAGAGTTACCAGAAATGGCCCAGCATGAACTTTGGACTGGGCCATATTCCTAAGGGCCCAGCGTGTACTTTGGACTGGGCTGCATTCTTTTAACCAGTTTTAGCTACAATTAGTGTAGGATTTTTCTATTTATTATAGAAACTGAATTTATTTTACTCATAGAAAGTATTGTAGAATAGGTCATGCTAACGTCAGGGAATTATGTTAGTTCAAGCATGATCAAACATGATATTTTGAGGTTTAATAAGAATACAGCTAACTTTAGAAATTTCATTGTTCCCATTTCTATTAATTGCGGTTTTGGCCTTCATACAATTTACAATTTATATTTGGGTTTTATTTTAGAAACTTTATTGCCAATGATCAGTTTTATATATTAGGATTAGGAATTCGAAATTTTATATAAGTTAAGATAGATATGTAAGATTTTAGAGTAGCCATTTTGCTAAGAGATTATAATGAATTGTTCCCAGAAATGGCCCAGCATGATCTTTGGACTGGGCCACATTCTTTAGGAACTGGTTTGAGCTATAATTAAGAGTTTCCATAGTATAGATAAAATTAGCATAGGATAGAAAAGATAATAGGATTTAAGTTAGTCATTTTAGGGGTTGTGTATACATAAGCTTTAAAAGTTATTGAATATTAGAACATCATGATGCTAGTGGAGATTTTTTTTTATTTTTGAGGAACATTAACCAAGCATTAGGAACAGTAGGATAATTTTGGGATTGTTCTACCTCATGCTTGAGGAAACATCTGTAGGGTGGAGGGGGGGGCGCCCCTAAACCACCTGGCTTTGTGTTCACGTGAAAGTCTTGTGATTTAACCATGAAAATTTAGGATAAAAGGCTTACAGTTTGTCCTATTAAATGGCTTCTGCACTAGACAGAGTCCAGTCTCTTTCTTTCTTTCTTCTAATATCTATCACTCCAGTTTAATTGCTGATGCCATCTTTCGTACCAGGGATCCGCAATATCTGCAGGGGCCCCCGCAGCCCACCACTGTAATGTGAGAGGCACAGGTGGAGAGGGCCTTGTGTCACCCCTCCAAGTTGTGGCTCCTCAGGGAGTGTAGGATGACCAGGTAGGAAGCCAGCAGCACGGAGAAGCTGATCACCAAGATGGAGCTGCCATTGATGATAATTAGCAGGCCAATGAGGAAGGTGTCTGCGCAGGCAAGTTTCGGCTCCGGGTGGACATCACAGAAGTAGTGGTCAATGATGTTGCCACAGAAGGGCAGCTGGAAAATGAGGAAGGTTTGCCCAACAGAATGCAGCAGGACTCCACCCCATGCCACGCCCACCAGGAGGCCACGCAGTCATTGGTTCATGATGGCGGTGTAGTGCAAGGGTTTGCAGATGGCCACGTAGCAGTCATAGGCCATGACTGTCAGGAGAAAGATCTCGGTCCACCAAAGAAATGGAGGAAAAATATCTGTGTGATGCAGGCCTTGAGGGAAATGACTTTCTTCTCAATAAAAGTGTCAAAGATGAACTTGGGGGCCGTGACAGAACAGTAACAGACCTCCACAAAAGACAAGTAGCTGAGGAAGAAATACATGGGGGAGGACAGCCCTTTGCTGGCCATGATGGCCACCACAATGAGACCATTGCCCAGCACAATGGCTGAGTACATGAGGAGAAACGTCACAGAAGTGACTTTCTGTACATCCTGGTTCTGGGAAAATCCCAAGAAAATGATTTCAGTCATGTTGCTTGTGGAAGCCATGTTTTAAAGCACAGGAGCTGAGAGCCCAGAATCACAGAGAGATCAAAGAACACTCCTCAGTAGTTAGAAACATCCTTCTCCGGCCTTGAGAATTATTGTCGTTCTATTCCCTCTTGACTTCACTCTCTGCCGTGTTTCCCCAAAACATATTCTCTGTAAGACAAGAAGACAAAATAGAAATCATCGGCTGCTTGATATTATTCCCTAAAGAGGATTTGACTTTGTGACGAGGCTGCCTTGAAGGCTGCCTTTGTTCCGTGTAATATTTTCTCTGATCCGGGCACATGCATTTGCTAATTTAATCCTCACATCAAAAATGAAAGGACGTTTTATAGATAGGAAAACTGAGACTCAGAGAGGTTTAGCCAATGGCCCGAGGCCACACAACTCATGCTTGAACCCAAGTCTATGTTTTTCACCTTCTGCTCCTAAAGATTGTCTTACACTGGTTGCCTAATAGTGGTTTCAGGTCACTCTTGCCTGACACCACAATGTGGACCCAGTATTTTATGATGTGTGCTGCAATTTCTCAACCCCAATTATTCTGCAATCTTAAAACTAACCAGACTCCCTAGTGGGCATAAGAAAGAAGCTGAAGGAAGGAAGTTCCATTGCCAAGCTTCAACCATTCCTTGGAGGTGGATATGGGGAAGGAACTTGTGAGCAGGTAACAGGCTGCCTTGGGGATCCAGGCTCCCATGGCTGAGAAACAATTCAAAAGACACTAAAGTCCCATCTTCCCAGGGTTCCATGGGGCTACCAAAGCATGCCTAGGTCAGAGCCTTAGAGCACAGCAAGTCCACACAAAGAAAGCCTCTGCACTGGGTGTCAGGAGGGCCTCCTGCGGCAACAGCATGTTAGCAGACCCCAACATGCATCATAGAGGACCCAGAAGGCTGACAATGGATGATCAGACACAGAAAACCCTCATCACAGCCTTTGAGGTGGTCGCTCCCTCAAGGTGACATGGGTCCTACCTGCAAACCTACAGGTATCCTGAGTTGATATTCATGCACTTCAACTGAGAGCTTGCCATGCATGCCAGGCTTCTGTGTGTGGAAGAGAAGCCATGGCTATGATCTGGTGACAGAACACAGGACTTGGGATCAAGAGACGCGGGTTCAACCTAGCACTGCTGTTTAGTAGCTGTGTGACATTAAACAAATCCAGAAACACTTCAAATCACAGAATTCTCATCTTAAAAAGGGAATAAAAATATATTTGGCATAGTGCAGTTTTGAGAATTAAATGAGCACAGAGATGTTAAAAGCAAATAGTAAACTATAAGAGTATCATTGATTATGCTTTCATTCTGCCTTATCCCCCTGTTAGCGGTGTATGATGGAGACACATTAAGATACTTTTTCTGCAGGAGATGGATCTGACACTCACATTTGCTTGTGCAAACTTACAATGTACAGGTTTCTGATTTAAGCATCTTCGAACAGAAGCTCTTAGAAGCCTTAAGAACAGCTGGCTATGTTATTAAACGGGACTGAATATGTTAAGTAACATGCTAGCCCAGTAACAAAAAGAATTGTATAGTTCACTTACATGAAGTACCTAGATTTATCACATTCATAGAGACAGGAAGTAGGATGGTGATTTCTAGGGCCCAGGGGGAGGAAGAATACGGAGTTGGTATTTCATGGTAGAGTTTCCGTTTGGGGCAATGAAAGGTGTTCTACGATCATACTAAGAAACAAAGAACAGAAAACCATATGTTCTCACTTATAAGTGGACCTTGAATGATTATCATAGAACTATAAGAAAGGGATTGGCTGTAGTGGGAAACTGCCAGGGGAGGGGGGTGGGACTGGCAGTTGAGGGAAACTGCTAGGGGAGGGAGGGGCACACCTCATCAGCAAGGGTACCTACATAATCGACATTTGTATACCTAACCCAGCATTGTAATCCACACACATATGTTTATCGCAGCATTGTTCACAATAGCAAGAACATGGAACCAAATATGCTGCCCATCAAAAGAGGACTGGGTAAAAAAAAAAACGTGGTGCACATACACAATGGAATATTATGCAGCCATAAAGAAGAACAAAATCGTCAACTTTGCAGCAACCTGAATGGAATTAGAGTTTATAATACTGAGGGATCTTTCACAGAAACAAAGATCTGAGTATCACATGTTCTCAATCATAAGTGGACCTTGAACAATTACCCTAATACTATAAGAAAAGTATTGACAGTAGCGGGAAACTGCAGGGCAGGCAGAGAGGGTGGGGCAGAGAGGTGGGATTGACAGTAGTTGATATCTGCCTGGGGAAGGGGGGACACACCTCATCAACAAAGGTACCTGCACAATGAATATTTGTATCCCTAACCCTGAATTGTACCCCACAATTTTGAAATAAAAATTTAAAAAAGAAATAATAAAAAATAAAATAAAATAAAATTTAAAAACCAAAAAAAAGTGTTCTGGAAATGGAAGACAATAAGTGGCCCAAGACTAAGAAGGTGGTAATGGCTGCACAACTATGAGAATGTACTTTAATATCACTGAACTTTACACTTAAAAATGGTTAAGATGGTAAACTTTGTTATGTGTACAATTTAATTAATTAATTAATAATTAATAAGTGGGCCAGGTGTGTTGTGGCTCATGACTATAATCTCAGTGCTCAGAGGGGCAGAGGCGGGAGAATGGCTTGAAGCCAGGGGTTCGAGACTAGCCTGGGCAACATAGCAAGACCCAACATCTACAAAAAATGAAAACTTAAGAAAACAGGTAGGCATGGAAGCACAAGCCTGTAGTTCCAGCTACTCAGGAAGCTGAGAAAGGAGGCTCACTCATGCCTAGGAGTTTAAGGCTACAGTGTGCTATAATCACACCACCGCACTCCAGCCTATGTGACAAAGTGAGATCCTGTCTCAAAAGAATAATAATAAATAAATGAATGAATGAAATGTCTTCTGACTTGTTATCTCCTCATGTATTACCTTTCACCACAATCTCCTTCAAGACAGTGGTTGATGCTTGGTAACTTTGCCCTCTCCCTTTTCAGCTTCTTTCTTATGTAAGTAAGGCTTGAGTGGCTTGAGAAACTCCAGCACTCAGTGAAGGTTTGTTCCATGTTATGTTGTAAGGCAAGGCTGATATGATGTTCTCATTATGCAAACACTGCAAGTTACTCTGCAGAAGTCAGAGATGTGGTGAAAGCATGTTCATTTGAAGACACAGACCTTGGTTCAAGTATGAGCTGTGGGCCTGGGACAAGTGACTAAACCTCTCTGAGCTCCAGTTTCCTGGCCTATAAAATGGGCAAAATACTATCCTCTCATTGCTGTGCCTGTCTCTTCCCTCCCTACATTCTCCTCTGTGTATTCAGTTGACCCTCCTGCCATATGCCGATGGCTCACACACAGAATGTTTATGCAGAAGGCAGGAATCTTACATGGGCAGGTTTCATCCTCACAGGAAAAATGGCTCTATTACTAGGTGAATATTTTCTGTGAAATTTAGCTTGAAAGCAAATACTGTGTTCCTGTCATTGCTTTTGATTAAGGTTGGTGTCAATGACAGGTCCTCCAAAAGGAGGACTACTTATGTCTTCGGACTTAAAAAAAGTAATGGTTTTATTTTTAATCCCAGGTTATTAAAGATTAACAGAGCAAGATATATATTCAACATAATCCCCAAATTTTCTTTAAAACTTAAAAATTAAATGTATTTATAATGGAATAAAGAAGAGGAAATTGACGTTTATTGAAGCTATGAATCGAAATGAAAAATATTTGAGAGATCATTTCATGAAAGGGTTATCTAACCAGTAAGCGATTGACAGTGATGGTGACATTTTGCCTGTGAATTCAAAAATAACTTTAATCTGACTTTTTTATTGGCAGGGCCAAAGGATGAGACTGTGAAAGATAAGCATGTGTTTTTATCAGACAGAAGATTAACTAGAGAGTTTCAGAGTTTATGCTTAAGAAAACCTAAAATATGGATGAACACAGAGGCTTACGGTGAGCTGACCCCAATTAAATAACTTCCATGAAAATTCTTCAGATCTTTTAAATGAATCTAGCCCCTACTTTGTGGTTTCTTATTTCACTTTTCCTATCATAGAAGCTCACATATGGTGAGGTTCTGAAAAGATTGATCTGACTGGCCTTTTTCAAAATTCCCTTTCTCCAAATTTTTTTCCAAAAATATCCTATCACAGAGAAGTCAGACATGGCAGGCTCTCTTTCCTCGTTCCTCTACTGAATAATTATAAGCTGTTAAATTTGGAAGGAAGCTCATGGATTCCTTATCTTATGGAACAGGAATGTGGGGCCCAGAATCACAGAGCTGGTTGGTGCGGAGCCTGAATTAGAACCTGGTGTCTTGACTTCCTGTCCAATATTTGCCTCACAGATTGCCTCAACTATTGACTTCTCCCCTCTGCTCACCCAAATCTGGCTTCCAGAATGGAGAGAAAACAATGGAGATGCTATGTTTATAACAAAGGCTAAGCCAAATAAAAGATTAAGATCTAAGAAAAAATAAATAACAGTAAGAACATTAACAAAAATTGTGGTCCTATGTCAGTTATTCACTTGCCTGAGGCATCATTTCTGCCCAGACAACCTGTGCAGATCTTGGAGGCCCTAGACAGAAGAGGATGCTTCAGAAGCCAGCCACATTGGGCTACCAGGGAAAGAGGGCTTTGCAAGACTTGCCTTGGGGACTTGGGATCTTAGCTCTAGGACTTTGTCAATATGGGTTAATTATTCTCTAGCTGTTTCACATACATCTGTCGGGTCCCTCCAGTGAAGATGTAAGCTTTTGAAGGCTGTTGAAGCATCTCTTACATCTTCTGCAGTACCTTGCTCAGAGCTGAGAACACAGTAGATGTTAATAAGTGGCACTGATGTGATCTCTGAACACTCCATCTGCTACTACATCTCTTTCCAAGGCCAGGCAACACTGGAGATGTCCTATAACAGTACAGAGGCTGCCAAATGCTGTGGCCAAGTCTGTAATCCCAGCACTTTGG